CAACCAGTCCTGGTGCTTCTTGCTGCTGTAGCCGACAGAGTGGGCTGCTGACTCATAGAACTAAGGGAGGACCACTTGTCGTCAATCAAACCCTCCGCACCCAGAAGAGTCTCAGCGTTCTGCTAGAGAGCAGCTTCGGATGTATCGTGCCTCTGTTTCCTCAAGTCGAGCAGAGTGCAACCTTTTTTGGTGGACGTCTTGAGGCAGACGGCTGGGCGAACTTTCATTCTGAGCTTGGCTAAGATCATCCGATGATCCATCCAGCACTTCGCTCCTCTCATGGCTCGTGTACTGAGGACATCCCTGACATCAGTGCGCCTGACAGTTATATAATCTTGGAGGTGACAGTGCTTTGGCCGTGGGTGGGTCCAGGTGGTTTTGTCACTGTTTTTCATTTGGAACATGCTATTGGTGATGGTGAGTTCATGTTCAGCACAAAGGCTTAGCAGTCTCAATACATTTGCATTAGCATGGCCAACGCCGTGATGTCCTACCACACCACTCTATATTTCACAATCTCTCCACACTTGTGTTGAAGTCACCCAACTCTGGAGGGCCTCGTCCAGTATATCATAAAAGCAGTCTTTTGCTTCATCTTCTGATGGTAAAGTTGGTGCATAAGCACTGAAGAGAGTGGCATGCTGCTTGTCAATGATGCAGAGCGACGTAAGCCTTTCGCTTATGCCAGTTGGTGTTTCTGTGAGATTTGGCAGGAGGCAGTTCTTCATGGCAATGCCCACACCATGCAGATGTTGCCCTTCTGGCGGGTATCCCTTTCAGAAGAGGCTGTAGCCCTACTTCTAACTCCCTGAGCGACCCTTCCCCCAGGAGCCTGGTCTCACTCAGAGCAGCGATGTTGATGTTACATCGCTTCAGCTCTGCTGCAATGAGTGCAGTCCTTCGTTCGGGCCTGTCGGTGCCACGGTTGGAGTCCAAGAGAGTTCTTATGTTCCATGTTGCAAGTCGTCAAGGGACATGTTTCTTGTATTGTTTTCGACCGCTTAGCAGAATATCCTGATAGGTGCGGCGGCCTATCCAGGAGAGTTAGAGTGGGCAATGTTTAGGCCACATTTTCTAGGCCTTTCACTATTCGGGGTGAACAGTGTGGCTCCTAAATAAGGCTTATCAGATACACAGGGGTCTGCCAGGAGCAACTGCCACTCAAATCCCAGCTGCTGACGACCAATAGCCCTGAACCGCTACCGTGTAGGGGCATAGCTAGGAGCTTCTGGATAATTCAGTCTTACCCCCATCACCAAGCACTCCATCGCCAGTAGACTTTCATGGTGCAGGAAATCTTAGACGTAACTCACAAAGAGCGGTAGTGGATACCTGTGCGCTGAAATTATTTAGATTGATGGGGGGAATGCGCGTGTCCTACATCACTTCTTCACTGTGGAAGAATGGATTTCAGTGGTAAGGAGAAATTTCAAGACCACCAGCGCCGCCCTACTTCTGCAGGAGGCTGCCGGAGCTCCAGTCTATCGGAGGACCGCCTGTCGCACGCCGCCAGCACATTACTTTTCTCTCAGGGTGAGCTCCTCGAGCTTTCGTCTTCCCAGACGTACCCACAAGGCAGCGGGGCAGTGGTTGGCCGATGCCAGGGCGTGTCCACATAACGTGGGCCTGCTCACCGCACCTCTGGGGCCCACTGCAGTTCCGAAAAGGCCCGATATTTGTCTGGAACCTCTCCACCCAGACCTGTTCGCCAAGGGAGACCCTACCAGGAGGACAAGACTCCAGGCGACATCGCTCTGAGGGTCATTGGAACACACTAACCCCACCACCACGAAAAGGTTACGATCCTTCGGTGTGGAGAGAGACGCACACACACACACAGACAAAGACCCGCACAAAGACGTATACAAAGACAGAGATACAGACGGACACTCTTGTCTGCACCATAAACACAAGTGCATACTCAGCAGATGCAATCCCAACACACATCCCCTGGATTTCCATATACTGTAAACTCCATGGTAGAGTGCTGTTAGTGAGCACCTATTAAGGCCGCAACTGTGTATGGGGGGATGGTGTGGCAGACTGATTGGTGTGGGGAGCGATAGTGCAGTGGTTACCGCGTTGCGCTATGAACCCTGCGACCCGAGTTCGATTCTAAACTGGTCCTGGGCCTCCCCTAGGGCGACTCAGCCATAACTTAGTAGCTGGTGTGGTGTTTCCGTAGCGCAGCGCGCTAACAACTACAAAAATAAAAATCCCCCCCGATAGCCATAACAGACTATTGGGGCAAGTTCAATCTTAATTTGGAGCTTTCGTGACTGCAGGAATTACTCTTTGGTTCTTTCGGTAAAGTCACGTATAAAGATAAAATAATAAATTAAATAATAGCATACGACGTTTCGATTGCAACACAAGCAATCATTATTAGGTATAAAAGAAATAGCAACAAAAATCTAACCAGAAAACTATAGACACACATATAAGCAGACAGATATCACAAAGATACATAGAGAGAGAACACACATCGGCACACAGAGAGAGAACGTCTCTGTGACGAGGCCTTAAATAGAGAGAGGGGGTGGGGGCGGAGAAAGGGAGGGGTTAGAGAAAAATTAGCATGTCAAAGAGTAGGACGACGCATGGTAAAGTACGCAAGCTTGAAAATTAGGAGAGCGGGAGAGAGACACACTAAATTAAATAACCTAGCAAAATATCGAAATGTAATGTAATGCATTGTAATGCATTACGCGTCGTCCTACTCATTGACATGCTAATTTTTCTCTAACCCCTCCCTCTCTCCGCCCCCACCCCCTCTCTCTATTTAAGGTCTCGTCACAGAGACGTTCTCTCTCTGTGTGCCGATGTGTGTTCTCTCTCTATGTATCTTTGTGATATATATATATATCTGCTTATATGTCTGTCTATAGTTTTCTGGTTAGATTTTTGTTGCTATTTCTTTTATACCTGATGATGATTGCTTGTGTTGCAATCGAAACGTCGTATGCTATTATTTAATTTATTATTTTATTTTTATACGTGACTTTACCGAAAGAACCAAAGAGTTATTGGGGCAAGTGCTGTTAGCGAGCACCTACGAAGGCCGGCACGGCCCACGAGGGGATGGGTTGACAACACCACGCCCAGTCGCCTTTGTCTCCCTAATGGCGATGTTTACACATCACACTAGGTACTCATTTGAGGCTGAGTCAACCTAGGGGAGGTCCAGGAACCGGTTCAAATAATTGTCACTAACCACTCCACCACCGCTCTCACATATATACGTACACACAATGATGACATGTAGACGCACCAAAACACAATGACACACACTTCACAAACGTCTTGATGCACTTCACGGGCTGCGTTCACACGGTGTGCTGAGTTTGTGTCTGGCGTAGCCGTGTTTGTTAAGTTGGTTGTCGGTTAAACCAAGGTGTACATCAAGACCCGTTAAAGACTTGGCATTCTGAAGCCTCTCACTTGAGATATATATACACAATATTTCTCTCTCTCTCGTCTAAACCTTCAGTGCCGACCAAGAAATGTTGCTTCATACTCTTAGTTTTTTCGGTAAAGTCACGTAGGTACAAAATAAAATTAAAATTGATAAAAATAAAATTATAATATTAAATTTAATGTCATTGTTTACCTACGTGACTTTACCGAAAAAACTAAGAGTATGAATCCTTCCAGTCACGAAAGCTTCAAATCTATAAATGTTGCATCATCTGCGCAGATAGATCTGCTTCAGGCAGACGTCGTCATGATCATCGTCTGTGTTGTTTATCATGGCCAGGAGTTCGGTAAAAAAAACGAACTCCTGGTCGCAATGCCACGTGGTGAGTACGAGACGGCGGTCCTTTAATAAACAACGTCACGAAGAGGCCAGTCAGTCCTGAAAGAGCCGCATGCCGCTACCGGTGCCGAAAAGTTACCGACCCCTACCTCTGATCACGGCAGACACAAAGTGAACCGGCGCGCAGGATTGAGAATGACGGTGACACGATGGGACCCCTCTCTCTGGGAATCCTACGATGGGGTGAGCTTTGTGCTGGTGACCCATCATCATTTACGTCCTGGCATTAAACACATTCGCACCTCTGATTAGCAAGCTTGGCTACGTACGGTACGGCTAGAAGTTCAATGCATTCCAATTAAAAGTGAGGCGCTGTCAGTTCGACATCGCGGAGCAGGAGTTTTAATAAAGAATCGAAGACAAACAGTGGGTGTCCAATAGAGAGAACTCGCCGCTGCCATGGGAGTGTGGAATTTCTGACCTCTGTCTCAGGGTTGTAAACAAGCGGCGAGCATCGCTTCCATGTCCGTTTGAGCAAGAGGGCAACTGGCTTGATAACATTTGACATTTAGTCACATGTTCATTATTGGATGAGCGGTTAACAAGACACACACGGACACAGCAGACACCACGTGGATCTATCATCTGTCAATAAGTACGGCTCTAAAAGGAAAAGTATATATGATCCAACGTTTTGCGCCATGGCCCTTCTTCACAAGCACATCTCATTTTTAAATCCTTTATATTAAGTTCACTTGCTTGCTTGCTTGCTTAGGACCGTGCAAATCTTTCGGTCGTTTTTTAACCCACCTCCCGTGATCCAATCGAGCTAACATTTTCCACACAGATTCGTTGTGCGTGACAATTAATGTTCGTGAAAATGTTTTCCAAAATTTTACACTTTTTAGGACAAAAATATTATATTTAATTACCAATTGCTTAATGCTGCCATACAATCATCTGACCCATAGGTAGCAGCCATCTCAAGCCAGAGGACGAGAGGACTCTAGCCGCCACGCATATAAAGGATTTATAGTGAAAAACTTTGTTTTTACGGGTTATACTTGTATTGAATGCACTCGGAATCAGGACCGTTGCCCAAAACGTCACCTTCTATACTTTTTCCCTTTTAAGGCCACCGTATTCTTGACAAATGTGTCGAGCTCTTTCGTTAGCTGTGCTTGTGCACTACTGCCAGCAGCAGCAGCAGCATCATCCAATAATGTATCTCTCCATCACTCACTCCATGACGTCCTTGGAGTTGGGGTCCAGGTATCGTGCGCTCATCCACTGCATCTCGAACCAGTCTCTGAAGCCGTTGTTGCCGCAGCAGCGGAAGTCCATCTGGAGGAGGTCGATGGTCCGCTTGAGGAAGCACCTGCCCGGCGTGTCCGTGTCCTTGTAGAACCTCATGCCGTTGCGCAGCCCGTGGTGGAAGGCCTCCTCGAGGTCCGAGCGGACCATGAGGCACATGAGGGCGCCCAGGAGAATGACGAACGTGAAGAAGAAGGTGCCCACGATGTAGGGCAGGAGGTAGATCCGCCAGCGGGTGAAGCGAGTCGCGTCGGCGCAGTCGTGGCAGATCTTGCCGCCCAGGAGGTTGATGGCGCACGCCACGATTCCCACCACGAGCAGGAAGTTGGGCAGCGACTGGACGCTGTTTCTGTGCTCCATCACCTCGGCCCTCTTCTTCAGCTCGATCTTGAACGAAAGCCCCAGGGCGAAGAGCACGATGCCGGCCACCACGGACACCCAGTTGAGGGCCCAGAGAGCCTGCGCCAGCTTGTCTCTCGTCTGGCGCGTGAACTTTATGCGGAGGATCGCCATCCGCCCGAGTGCGTGTCACCCCGTGTGTCACTGTGTGTCACTCTTATGTGTCACTCTTGTGTGTGTGTGCGTGCCACTCGTGTGTGTGTGTGTCACTGTGTGTCACTGTGTGTCACTCTTGTGTGTGTGTGTGTCACTCTTGTGTGTCACTCTTGTGTGTGTGTGTCACTCTTGTGTGTGTGTGTCACTCTTGTGTGTCACTCTTGTGTGTGTGTGTCACTCTTGTGTGTGTGTGTGCGTGTTCGCTAACAGCACTTGCCCCGAAAGTCTGTTAGCGCTATGCGGGGGATCTTTGTTTTTGTGTAAAAGAGTGTCACTGTGTGTATCACTGTGTGTGTGTGTCACTGTGTGTGTGTCACTGTGTGTGTGTCACTGTGTCACTGTGTGTGTGTCACTGTGTGTGTGTCACTGTGTCACTGCCTCGCTGTGTGACTGTGTGTGTGTCACTGTGTCACTGTGTGTGTGTCACTGTGTCACTGTGTGTGTGTCACTGTGTCACTGCCTCGCTGTGTGACTGCCTCTCTGTGCATCACGATGCCCGTGTGTCACAACACATTCGGTGTGCTTCGCTGTGTCTGACACTTTCTGTCGCACTGTGCTTCTTGATGTCTACAAATATGTCTTAGGCGTGTGTCTGTGTCACAACTGTGTGTCTCCCTGTCTAGCTGACTGAGTGGTAATGCCTCACTGTGTCACTTCTGTGCCTGTAGGCTTTGCCGTCGACGTATCTCACCGGCTGTGTTTATTACTTGATAACCTCCAGTCCCCCCTTCACGCTCTATACGTCAACAAAATGCTCCCTTTCCCAATCTCCGCCTCGTCTATCGACAAGCCCGCCGCACTCAAGCCCGCCTTATCGATCCCTTCTCACGTCTCGCTTTCGATTAATCGACGTCCCTCTCTCGCTCGCTCTTTCTCTCGATTTCACGTCAAGTGCCTCCGAAAGGAGATTAAGGCCAACCGCAGCTCCCTCGTCAATGAATGACGACGATTGCGCCGACGACGCTGATGTCGAGACCGAGTCGCGCAAACGGCGAAACGGAGCGCACGCGCGTGAATTCGCGGACGAGTCGAAGGCGCTCCCCGCTGGTAAAAAGTCGTGGCGGATTTTTTTGTTTGTTTGTTTGTTGCGCTGTCGGCGAATTTGCGACGGGCGGTCGGTCTGGCGAGCTCTGCGTGTCTTCTCCTCTGTCCTACACCTCACCAGAGCCGATTACCTCCCCCACCGCCCACCATCAGCGCCACCACTCCCGCCCCGACTCCAACCAACTCGCCCCCCACCACCACCACCCCCACCTCGATTAATCCACGCCGATAAACGCTTCCTCCTAATTCGCATCATCCCAATCGCATTAGAGTGAATGAGACGGACTCCCCCCCCTCTCCCATGAACCCATTCCTCTGCTCACAACCACGGTGTAAGGTGGCCACTCATCACCTAACTGAAACTTCTCAAATACATTTATTTGTTTTCATTTTACCAGGTAAGGCCCCACTGAGCTATGTAGATATTTTCCAGAAGCGACTTGGTTATCACAAATGGTAGATTAACGAAGTGGCTTATCATGCGGACATTTATAGCAGCTGGCATTTTTTTTTTCAGATTACGTGAAAAACCCATGCAGTATTTAACATGATGGGGTTTTTGTTTTGTTATACAGCCATGAGTGACCAGGCTGGGCCCATAAACTTGCTGCACTTCAGAAACTCAGTATATTTACGGGCGGCTGATAACTGGATCCGATTCCAGAATATCAGCGATAAAGGCTTCCCAACCCCTTCCCTCCACCCAGTCATCAAACTACTAAACTGAACAATGTTTATTTTACCAGGTAAGGCCCCACTGAGCTATAACAGCTCTTTTTCAGAAGCGACCTGGCGATCGCAAATGATAGCTCAACGAAGTGGCTTATCACGTGGAAATGTATCGCAGCCAAGTACTCTAACCCCGTGTTTATTCTAAATGTGAATGGAAAACCAGGAGGACCCGGAGAAAAATCCAAGCCACAACGGGGAGAGAGACATGCAAAATCCAAATATACAGACGTCAAGGTCCGGTTCGAACCCATAACCTCCTGTATACCGGGCGAGGTAGTTAACATCTCGCCACCTGCAGATCCACTAACCCCAAGCACCACCCTGTGTTCTATTCTGTCCGCTGTGTGACCGCGTGGTAAAAGTGGGATGATTACGATAGTGATGGTGCGCCCCATTTAGATCCCCTTCGTGTTCAGGTTGTAACGCATGTTGTTTGGGAAATGTGTCCGACGTTTCGCACCACGGGTAGTGGGGCTTTTTCAGATAATTGTTAGTCAGTTCCTGAAGAAGTAGCAGTATCGAGCACGTGAAGCGAAACGTCGGACACCGTGCCGAAAAAACACACGGGACAACCAGAAACCACAACGGAGTGTTACGCAGCACAGCGGTGAAACATCTGCGCAGTAGCATTACATGTCACAGTGCTGGTAACCCATGACAGTTCAGCTTGTCACGTCTACCCATTTCGATTTAAAGCTTTCGTGACTGCAGGGATTCATCTTCTTGGTTCTTTCGGTAAAGTCACGTAGAATGGAAATAATAAAATAATGTCGAGAAGACAGACCTGTTCTACACCTGAGGACGGCTACTTGCGTTGCGGCCGAAACGTGGTGAGAATTATTTTATTGTTTTATTTTTATTATTTCCATTCTACGTGACTTTACCGAAAGAACCAAGAAGACGTCTACCCATCTTTTTCATTCAGATACAAGCACAAACCGGACGATTGCTAAATGCATCTTACATCCGCACACACAAACTCTCTTAATTTGAACCACACGCGTGTACACACACATACACGCGCGCGCGCGCACGCAAGACTACTCTTATCTGAAATTTAAATCGGCGCTCCCAACGCCGCGCGGGCCCTGTTTGCCACTCTTCAGACACGTTCAGCAAGCAACGGACCTCATTGACGTTGGCACGGAAACACGTGGTGGACATGGGACGGTGCATGCATCATGGTGGGTCACGAGGACTGGTTTGGAAGAGCCCCCCCCCCGCCCAGTTCAGCCGATAATGACGGTCCTCTTATTTACAGATGAACGCCTGGCCGAGTCCCACAATTCCATTAAAAGAAAGTAGGTATCTTTCTTGGATTGTTTGACCAGACCTCTTCTTGAACTTCTTAATGCTGGTACGGGAAAGGCAGAGAGCCTAGAGGCAACCCACGCGTGCAAGTGGAGAACCGCTCATTTCGGGACGGCAAAGACCATAAAGCACCTCCGATTAGTGCGGTTGGTTATGTACGGTGCAAAAGAGGTTCAACCATAAATACACAAACATGATATAATAAAACGTGGCGACATTTAAGAGGAACCAACTTATATGACCAATGAAAGTGAATCCATACGTGACGACATGTTCACGCCAGCAGCTTCTGAGTTGTTTGTAATGATGCATAGATTCATGCAATTTGTTAAGCTCACAAATACATCGAGTGATGTACTGTATGGGCCAATTCATGTATGTTGCATGTAATGGGTTCACGTGGCTGTCGTAGCTACTGATGGCCACTGCATTTCACCACGATGTTAAAAACAAACAAGACTCTTGAATTGAATCGTGACAATTAATTTAATCACCGCAGTATCAACACATTCAACATGTTGTCCGGTGCCATGGGCCATGGGTTGTAGTGAATCTAAACCACAAGCCACGTTCTGGGTCCACAGGGCATGATACATATAAATCATGGTCCACGTTATTGACTTAATATAAATCGTTTGCTCGCCAGCACAGCAAATTCTGTATTGAGGCCAAGAGCAGATTTGCAAGTTGGAGGTTGCGACATTCGGCTTTAAAAGCCCAGTTCGCAGACTCGTCCATTCGTGTACGGTGCCAGCCGCGGAGCTTACAATGCGTGTCCATACCTGGTGGGTCGTGAACTTAATATAAAGGATTTAAAAAAGACTCAGTTTAATTGAATTGTGGCAATTCATTGACTCGCTGGTGGAGTTTGGGGTTGACGGATCATGCAGGGATGGGTAAATGTGGTGTTGCATGAGACATCACCTGACCTCTGGGCAATGAGGTGGTGCAGGATGTAGTACAGCAAGGAGGTTTCCTGGTCTATCTATAGAGGAGTCTGAGTGCCTCCTCCTGTATGCGTAGGTTGTCTCCATGCACTAGTTTCCTTTAACACGCAAATATTCATACCTCAACAATCATCACAGACACGTAGGGAAAATCCATAACCATCACAAAATGATCGCGACGTAAAAAAAAATCCAATTCCACGTATCGAGGAGTGCTTCAACCGTGACCTTCCCTGTCGATTGAAGGACATTTAAAGAATCGAATCAAATAAGTGGGGCAGGCAGCAAAACATGAATGCGGCAGTGCAATGTAAGGTAATGAGGATGTGTGTGCAGTTCATCGGTCAGCGGGCTGACACCATCGACTAACGACACTTGAGAAGCAGGTTTAATCACAGGCAGCTGCCTGGACTCGAAGCATGACCCCGGCGGCACCAGCTCGTAGATGGGTTTGGTGGAGGTGGAGGTGGTGGTGGTGGTGGCATTGGCCGGGCGGGAGGAGAGCGGGTCGACGTTATGATGGCTGAGGCTCCACATTGGCACCATTCGTGTCATATTTCTTCTTCTTCATGAGGGGCATTTCCCTGCAAGCACGGAGTGGGGCATCACAAAACGGTCAACGAGTGACTCAGGGCCTGATGCTGTGTTGGTGACAATGAGTTGGCACCGTTGAGATCTCGAGTAAAAATCTGCTGTTCAGCTGCCCGTGATTCAATTGTACACCCTTGGAAGGAGATGTTCCATCCCGAGGGATTATCCCAGTAAAATGATGTTGCACTTTCTCACATGCGTCGCCAAAGACGTGTTTGCCAAGCATGGCATTTAAAATATTGTCATTTTATAACCCTCAATTGAATCGCCAAATTAAACACAATGGGATTATTTTGTGTCCAGGCAATGCTGACATCATCAACCCAGCTACAATAAAGATCCCGGTTTAATTATGGGTGGACAAGATTTAGATTAAACCCAGCATCCCAACAGTGTTGATTGAAGTGTTCTGAGCACCGACGCATCTAGTCACCTCTGACACGACTTGCTCCCAGAGCCACCTGCTTACATTGCCATTTCAGAAATTATCATTTGTTGACAGATAAAAGGGTAAAAAAACAATTATCATATTTTGCTACTGGAAAAGGAGGTTCCAATGGTGTAAATGCTTATCCCGAGCTCTCATACTCTGATGGTGCATTGTCTTTGAGTTGTGCGCCTTTTGTGCGCCATCTGGTCCAACACCATGTGAGACTAGGCTCTAAGAAAAGCTGTCTCGGGTGTGGACCAATCAACTTCAAGAACAGTGCATATCATTATCAGAGTTGTGTTTTTTTTGCATTCCGACCGCAGGTATTGTGGTCAATGCAAACATGACTCCTTATAAAAAAGGTGTCAGTTTTGTTGCCAGTTAAAAGGGTAAAAAAAACAATTATCATACGACCACTTTGTGGGTGAAGTCAACAGCGGTTGTACTATGGATAGATTTGCCCCCCGGAATAGATGTGAGGAATTTCCACCACTGGCTACGTGGCTGTAAACAGGCGATGAACAATGCCTCTTTGCTTATGTGAGACTTCAAATCACATGCAAATGAGCCTATCGTGGTATGACTTCTCACCTGCTTAGTCAAATAGACTTGACTGGACCTGTATCGGGCAAGCACGCGCACTGTCACACCTGCGCTGGTCCCGCTAGCACGTTCCGCCTGTACGTGTGTTGTAGCGCAATTCACGACTCCGAGGCAGGTTGCTGTTAGGGGCTTACGCCAGGTTTGTTAAGGGCTCACGCCACGTTTATTAAGGGCTTACGCCAGGTTTGTTAAGGGCTTACGCCGAACCAAAACCCCCCTAGCCTATAGCTCTCCAGGGGACAGGGTACTGGGATCCCTACACCCCGGCTAACTCGGCTCTCCTCCCTGGCCAAGCCCGGGACTACCCCCAACCTCAGCCGGTCGGGCGGAGTAGCCTCCCCTAGCCTCGTGTGAGGATCAACTACCCGAGTCCCCACTCCTACCCGCGACGAACCCCGGTTACATCCCGGGTCCCCCTTTAAATACCCCCCTGGGGGCATGACGGTCACCATCCCCCAAGGCCCGCCTGACGTCACGTCCCGCGACGCCACTCTCTCCGAGGGCAAGCGTGACGTGATGTCACCCACTACACCTCTACACGTGTACCTGTCTCTCGCGTGCGCCTCCGACAGCTCTTCGATGGTCTCTGGCAGCGGGCGGTTGAGCGTCTCAGGCAGGAAGTAGACCAAGGACCCTGCGACCAGCGACGCGCCCCCGTACATGGAGAGCGGCAGCGCCGGCAAACTTTCGCCCACCATGATCACCAGCGGCGCCAGCATCCCACCAACCCGTGCCATTGTGGAGCACAAGCCGAGGCCACTCTGTCTGTCGGGGTCGGCGGCATCACCACCATGGTCACCATCGTCGTGAAAAGCCATCGCTGTACATCGGACTATCAATGGCCCCTTGCACATGTATATAAAATCTATTTTGAAGGGTCAGGTCAGCATTGGGGTCCTTGTCAAATAACCAATCCTTCATGTGGCATCATAGATCGTATGCGTTCCTATTTACAGAGCCCAAAAGGGATTTAAACAGACATGTTTCGTCTTATTTCCAATTGTATTACAGGTGGGCTATCGTTGTAAGTAAAGTGTTCACTGGGAACTGGACACCCTGGCAAATGCGATGTTTCATCTAAAAAAAAAAACATATCGCAGTGTTAGAGAACGGTCTGCAAGAAGAATAAATCACGGTAATCGGAGGAGCCTTCAATTGACACAGCAGAGGGGCAAGCTCTTTCCCGGCCGCTCTGCGTACAACTTAACGGCGATGGTGACAATTCGTACTAAACTGACGAGGGTGGCGGCTGCCCCATGGCTCATCCGTTGATGATGTCAGCGGCTCCGTCACCTGATGACGGTGGGGAAGATCTCTCCCGTGTAGAGGTAGGCGCAGTTGAAGGAGCAAGAGAGCGCGCCCTTGCCGAGCACCGCCAGGCAGGTGCGAGCCGTGATGCTCTCTGCGGAGACACGGGACGCGCGTCGTGGGGGTCAGAGGGCAACGTCTCCGGATGTCATCGCCGCTCGGTCTCCGCCAGAACAATTTTCATATACTCTCCACAATGACGATTGATGAACGATTCGTTGTTGCGCATCGCGTAGTTTTCCCCTTGAAATAGGACCCGTTTCTTACAGAGATAGACTCCCCCTAGCAACATCTTTATTTACATTTAGCCAATCGCAATCTATAATTTATTTTATTTTACCATGTAAGGCTCACTGAGCGGTGCAGCTCTTTTTCAGAAGTGCCTTGGCCACAAATGATAGCTCAAAATGCATTGGCTTATCATGTGGAAATTTATAGCAGCCAAATCCCCCTAAACACGTGTTGATTAATTATAAATGTGGACAGAAAAGCTGGAGGACCCAAATAAAAATCCACGCGTCCACAGGGAGAACGTGCAAACACAGGCGTCGGGATCGGGATCGAACCCACGACCTTCTGCATACCAGGCGAGGAACCACTTTACATCTTCAATGCGCAGTTACACTAATTTATTATAAACATCTTCCCTTCACCCCTTCCAACCTTTATCATCCACCTCGTCCCCATTAAACCCCTCGGTCAGCACAGCAAACGTGCAGCAAGCCCTCCCACTGCATACAAGCGACAATGGGTACACAGTACATCAAACGCTGGACTGGTATTGAGAATGTTTGGTATGAGCAATTAGGATTGCTTGAATCTGTTCGGACGCGATGGCCTCCCAGAGGGTTTTCACAGTAACGGGTAATGTTAGTACTATAGTTATCCCAACTGAGCAACTTTCAAGTACATATCAGCATTTGGGATGTTTTTTCACCTAATGGGAGGAAATTGGAGTTACACTGGAGGAAATCAATGCATAACAGGGGGAGAACATACACACTCCACACAGAAAAGCGGTTTTATTTGGAATCGAAGCCAGGAACCTTTTTATTCTGTGACATACAAATGTTACCGCTGCACCACCCTGCCACCTATCTGCGCTCGTACACAACCGAGAAGTAGCTCAAGTTTGGCTTGGCTTCTACTGGAGAGCCAAGGGATTGAACGTCCAAATGCGTGTGTGTGTTAAGACTACCACCTAGTGGTGGATTTAAAGACTCTTTTCCACGCACTCATTCCAGCAACCGAGTCTTTCTATAAACCTCGTCAGTCAACCATCACTCGGTGGGAGGTCACTCATTCTCTTCTGCCATCCGTGCTGTTGACTCCCTGTTCAGCTGAAGGGTCAAGAACTTCCTTTTTCTCTCTACCTACTACTGACCGCCGAGAAAATAACATAATTGTACCCTACTGAATCTCTACAGCGCATTGAGCTGCTGTTGCATGCAAACGCCGTATGAATCGTAATTGTATTGTGCATATAAGGCCATTAACTTTATTACAACAATACAAAATATATTTTGGGATAAATGCGAGTTTTGCTGATGAGACGAAAAAATAGATACTTTAAAGATCTAATCAACTAGACCTTGGTGATCTTGCGGCGAGTTAAAAAATAATAAACTAAACATATTTTTGCTTTTACCAAGTAAGGCTCATTGAGCTATATAACTGTTTTTCAGATGCGACCTTGCCACAAATTATAGCTCAACGAAGTGGCTTATGTGGAAATTAATTGCAGAAAAATACACTAAACGCGTGTTTATATGTGGAGGGAAAAAACAAGGAACCTGGAGAAAAATCCACGCGACCACGGGGAGAGAGACACGCAAACTCCAAATATACAGGCGTACAGGGTCGGGTTCGAACCCACGACCTCCTGCATACCAAGCGATGTAATTAACATCTCGCCACTGAGACGCCCATTGCAATCCGAGCCAAGGATTTAAACCCAATGGTTTAGACCATCTGATCCTATCCCTTCAGTGCCAGCTCTTCCATGGAGAACGTGCTTGCTTTTCCTGCTTTCAACATCAGCGGTGTTACTTCAGCCTGGCACCGGATCCCTCAGCTCTGCTCTCCCTTCATGTATTCCCCCCACCCTCCCCTCTCTCTTAGCCGCCCCCCCAACCAACACTTGTACAATAATAATAATGGCACCACCAATGTTGGGATGTCGGGATGATGGGTGGAGGGGAGGGGGGGTAGGGATGGAATTCACCGGCTGGAATGGCCAGCAGGCAGAAGCTGGCGATGCTGGCCACCGCAAGGGAGCCGGCCTGCGTAGCGCGTCGTCCCAGGAGGCTGAGGACCACCAACCCCACTACCTTGGCCGGGTAGTCGATGGCACCATAAATCACCTGCCGAGGGGCACAACCAGCGCGCGTAGTACAACGAACTGTTAACATAGCAGTACTCTACATTCTCCAATGGACTGTTCTATAGTGGCACTCTACAATTGACTGTTCTTTAGCGGCACTCTACAATTGATTGTTCTATAGTGGTACTCATATAATGGTAGTCGGACAGTCAATGATGGCTATAGAGTGCAAGTCTAGAACCGTCACCACCGAACCTAATGATGGCTGACAACATCTGCACGTGGTTTAACACCTAGGAGGCTTTCGCGACCAATATTATCCATAAGAGGTTTTTTTGGGATAGATCGTGTAAATATAAATGTGTCGGTAAACCCGTCACCACCCAACACAGTGAATTCGTAAGGTTTGTCACGTAAACAGAACATGCCAATTCGTTCATAGTGCAGCACACCGGTGTGTTTGAGAGTAAACCCACACAATCTGCAGTTAGAGTACTCAAATTGTAGATGTAAACCCACAATATCTACAATTCGTGTACTTGAATTGGCATATTTTGTTTACGTGACAAACCTGACTAACTGGCTGTGTCAGATGGTGGCGGGTTTAACGACGCATTCATATTTACGCGATCTAAACCCCCCCCCCCCCCAAAAAAAAACCCCCTCCATTGTGGATCTACACACGGACAGGTTATAGGCAGTTATGTGACTCCGATCTCGATCACCTGCATGAGGAAGATGTTGACGGCAAAGCCCCGGATGTTGAGTGAAAATCCATAATACGAGAAGGATGTGGAAAACCTGGGGAGAAAAAGGTGTGCGCGCACGTACACGTTACAATGACGGCGAAGCCTGCACAGCAGCCATTCGCCACTAAGTGGAAGTGCTCGGGCCAAGTCCGTCGCACTCTTGAGGAAATGTGACCTTGTTGAAGGCTTGTTGGCAAGTGGTCACGGGGACAGGCCCAAGTATTAAAGAGGTTAACCAATCGAGATGACTGACCGATGAACCACCTGTGCTGTCCAATATTTCAAAGACGATGCATATATTATCAGCGTCAAGTCAGTCACACTCTTGTGCAAAGATGACTTTGTTGAAGGCTTGTTGGCAAGAGGTCACGGGGACAGGCCCAAGTATTAAAGAGGTAAACCAACCGAGGTGACTGACCGATGAACCACCACCTGTGCTGCCCAATATTTCAAAGACGATGCATATATTATCAGAGTCAAGTCAGTCGCACTCTTGTGCAAAGATGACTTTGTTGAAGGCTTGTTGGCAAGAGGTCATGGGGACAGGCCCAAGTATTAAAGAGGTTAACCAACCGAGATGACTGACCGATGAACCACCTGTGCTGTCCAATATTTCAAAGACGATGCATATATTATCAGAGTCAAGTCAGTCGCACTCTTGTGCAAAGATGACTTTGTTGAAGGCTTGTTGGCAAGAGGTCACGGGGACAGGCCCAAGTATTAAAGAGGTTAACCAAACGAGGTGACTGACCGATGAACCACCTGTGCTGCCCACTGTTTCAAACACAATGCATATATTATAATCGGAGGTGCGGTGTAGTGTATAGTAGTGTAGTGTATAGTGTTATATGTATGTATGTTTTATGTATGTTGTATGTATGTTGAACTTCTTTGGCACCGTACGTAGCCAACCGTGCTGATCGGAGGTGCGGTGTAGTGTATAGTAGTGTAGTGTATAGTGTTATATGTATGTATGTTTTATGTATGTTGTATGTATGTTAAACTTCTTTGGCACCGTACGTAGCCAACCGTGCTGACCGGAGGTGGGGTCAGCGGCGGTGCTCACCACACGAGGCTCATGACGAGGGTTCTGCGGCGCAGAGCAGGGATGGTGAGGAGGTTGAACATGGTGTAGAAGCGACGGGGGCCCGTGTCCTCCTCCTCCAGCTCTTTGCGGAGATACTGCAGAGGTAACAACAAAGACAAACATCCACCGTATAGCTTCAACACACTGTTGGGGCAAGTGCTGTTAGCGAGCGCCGATGAAGATCGGCACGGCACACGAGGGGGTGGGTGGTCAGCACCACGCCCAGCCGCCTTTGTCTCCACAGTGGCGATGTTTACACACCACACCAGGTACTAATTTTAAGGCTGAGTCGACCTTGGGGAGGCCCAGGACCGGTTCAAATATTTGCCACTGTTATTGGTCGTGAGCAGGAATCTAACTCGGGTCGTCGGATGTGTAGCACAGTGCGCTAACCATTGTGCCACCGCTCCCACACCACACGTGGACACACAGACGCACACGAACGTACACACAAGGACACATGCAGGCTAACACAGATGTGTTTAATTAATTACTGGAGCAATTGTCATGCAGGGTCAGTCATCTCGTCACGGTGGCGAGACGTTAACTCCCTCGCCTGGTATGCAGGGGGCCATGGGTTCAATGCAGACTCTGACGCCAGTATATTTGTAGTTTGAATGTTCTCCCTGTGGTCGCAGTGGATTTTTCCCCGGGTCCTGCGGGTTTCCCCCTCCAATTATAAACATCCGTTTAGATTATTTGTCTGCTATTAATTTCCACATGATAAGCCACTTCTTTGAGCTATCATTTGTGGCCAGGTCGCTGGTGAAAAAGAGCCATATAGCCCAGTGAGCCTTACCTGGTCAAATCAAAAATAGCTCAGTGTAATGCAAGACGGGGTACGGTTGGGGTGAGGCGGGCGAGTCACGGCACTGGGGTAAAGCGAGGGGAGGCGAGACGAGTGAGCGCGTGCGGAACTCGCGTTCACAGTGAGATGTACGGCTTCGCGCTTTCGTCCGTTGATGACGGCCACGCGCTTGAGGCCGTGCAGCGCTCGCTCGTAGTGGCCGTGCATCACGAGCCACCTTGCCGACTCGGGGGTGAACCTGGGGGTGGCGAAGGGGGGGGGGTGAGAGGACACGCTCAACGCGCCCTAAGAACGTGGCTCGGACCGATCCGATTGTTGTGGTCTTCCGCGGTTGGAACTTCTAGCGATGTCGTTGCTCGTGGCACCGCTTGCTAGCGCCACGGAACCCCCTCGGTCCAACCGGCAAGCTCACCAGGAGCACAGGAAGAAGACGTAGAACGCGGCAGAGATGGAGTGCTGCAGGTGCCTCCAGTCGCGGATGTAGTAAGCGAGCGCCACCAGCACGAGCTGCCCCGTGGTGTAGGCGACGCCGCTCAGCGTTCCGTAGAGCGTGCGGTCCTTCATCGCGATCCATTCCACACCTGTGGCCCGTGGGAGATGCATGTGTTGGAGGGGGAGGACGTGTGATTTGGGGAAAACTTGTAAAGTAGATGGAAACGAGCACGACTGGGGAAATAGGGGATGTGAATAAGGCCTATTACAGGGTGTAATGACGACTTCGACGCACTTGTGTCTTGAGATGGTTTATTTATTAAGGTGCCACGTGCTCACACTCAGACAGGCGGAGACCCCCACTGCAACAGCCCCAAGTCTGCCGCGCATCTCCTTTATATACGGCCCTAGGCCACGCCCCCATTCCCGAACCTTCTCCCTGGTTCTAGACCGCTCGCTCTACCAGCAGACTCTACCGTCCTCTTCCGTCACCTGGCCACGCGCCTATTCTCGATCATTCCCGTAGCCACCAGTCCATTCGTACTGCAGGTTGACTCCCCTGTCATTGCCTCCCGTGGCCACTAGTCCACTCACGCCGTCGGTTGACTCTATTGTCATTACGCAAGGAAGGTGGCCGAGTATACAATACTGTTGACGCATGTATATGAGAAAGAATATAGGTGTACTAGATTTCTAAGATGACGAATAGACAGATGTATGAGCTGTCCAGGAGTATGGGTTCAGGCATATGCGAAGGAAGGCAGGTGTAACAGCTGCGTGAGGAGCAGGCAGGCATAAAATTGTCAGAAGGATCCGCACGTGGATGCCCTGTGCACCAGACGCTCCGCACGCATCGTGTTACCTAGGGAGAACGCGTTGAGCGAGATCCCCGCGACACCCAGCCCCACCACGCAGCGCCCTGCGGTGTAGATGGCGAGGTTGGGTGCGAAAGCGGTGGCCGTGCTCGCCAGCGCTGTCAGCAGGTAGGACAGGGAGAGCACCCTGCCACGGCCAAGCCTGCAGGACAGGGGAGGGAGCAATGGGGTGTGCAGGCAGTGCAGCTGCGTACGAGCTCGTGGATTGGACGGTTACTGGGCTAAGAATTGAGGGGATTTGGACAGAGCAGGGCCCCCAAGGCGAATGCCAACAAAGAACTATGTCACTGTGAAAGGGGGTTGTGGGGGGGGGCATTTGGTGTTGGTGGGTCAAAGGAAGGTGGTGCAAGTGATTAGGGGAGTGATGGCAGCAGTGCCGGATTAAGCGAGTGCGGGGCCTGTAGCACATGTTATAAAGGGGCCCTAAATAAAAAAAAACATAAATATTAAAACACACATTTTTTACTTGCATAGTAAAGTCATTGTATTTTTTCATTTGCTATACAGACAGATAATACGACAAATCGCTAACCTTAAACACCCAGTCGTTCATAAAAGTTGAAGGTAGTATAGTACTACAGTAATAGAGCAAGTGCAGAATCACTGAACCGGAATGCATAGCTTGAAAGCATTTAGCATGAGGCCCTTGAAAGTGCGGGGCCCGTAGCATATGTAGCATATGTAGCTACTTGTGCTACTAGGATATAATCCGGCACTGGATGGCAGTGGTGGTGGCAATGGCAGAGATATTGATGGGGGAGTTGAGTGATAGATGCGCCACCTGTGCATCCACAATGACAACGACCGTAGAGCATTCAACAGGCTGAATTTCACAGGTTGCTAATTAAGGGGGTGGGGCGTTGCCAATCACCACGTTCGTCCACCTTTGTCTCCCCAACGCTGATGTTAACACTACACCATATAATCATTTAATGCTGAGCCGACCTTGGGCAAGCCCAGGGCCAGTTCAGATATTTGTTACTGACGTTAGCCGCGAGTGGGAATCAAACACTCGTCTAACCATGACGCTACCGCTCTGCACACTGCTCTACCACGTGTGGGTGTTTGTTGCATCCAGGCACGTGCACACTGACACACAAACACGTGTACAGGTGTGTGGAGGATGTTACCTGTCCCCCAGGTCTCCGAACACCACGGCCCCGATCAGCAGTCCGCCCATGTAAACGGTCTGCGCCATCTGCTTGAGCCCGCTGCGATCGCATACCAGGTCCCACTGGAGAACACAGCACGAGGTTGCCCACTACATTACGAACACCCTCTAACCACTACTGACCGGTTGTTCAGGAATTACTGGAAGGTGGATATAGCGTAAATCGGAGTCTGGCTTCGTGAAAGGAGTCTCAGAGGTGGGACGCACTCCGTTGTAATTGAATAATTTAACACATTCCTGCGGAAGGAGCTGGTAGGAACGTTGGGTTGCTCGGTCAATGGCCAGGGTCAACGGTGGCGTGGTGTATTCCGCAAATATGCCCGACTGTGAGGGCGGGCACAAGCCGGCGTGAGTAGGTTAAACGTTGAGTTTTATAAGGGCACCACAGGGTGACCAGCCCCTCCCCACCCAGCCCCACCCTCCCACCCCCTACCCAGCCCCACCCTCCCCACCCGGCCCCTCCCCACCCTCCCCACCCAGCCCCTCCCGACCCTTCCCTCTCCACCGAGCCCCACCCTCCCCTTCCCACTCAGCCCCTCCCTCTCCACCCATCCCCTCCCTGCACGACGGACGGACACAATAATCCCCTGTGGGCTGGTGTAACCAGGAGGTTCCTACCAGTACAAGTCAAAGTGACTTTCTGGCCAGGTCACTTCTGAAAAAGAGCCATATAGCTCAGTGGGGCTTACCTGGTAAAATAGAAATAAATAGATACATAATTGGGCATATGCGGTGGCGTTCGTCAGTGGTGGAAATACCGCATTACTATGGCGGGGGCGAGTCTTTCCAGAGGACAACCGCTGCTGACTTCCAAATAAATTGGGGGGAGGGGGGGCGGGGGTACTGATCGTGTTGACCGCAGAGGGACGATGGGGCCTGAGTCAACCCCCCGGCTAGGCTTTGAACTCGCAACCCTCCAATTCTCGAGCCATCTCTATTTATCGTTTACAGCAGCGGTCCCCAACCTTTTTGGCACCAGGGATCGGTTTCGTGGAAGACAATTTTTTCACGGACCGGGGCGGGGGGGGGGTCATCATTGTGTCTTTCCCCCTTTTCAAAGAAGCTCTCCAGCGACGTTTGTTTTTTACTAATGTTGGCAAGGGGTTAGCAGCTTGTGGGCTTACCAAAACTGTGACTGAGACAAGTGTGCAGTGCTGGAAGGAGGCGCGGATTGAAGTGGTCAATAAGAGATTGGAGGTGGGCCACGCGCGGACTCACCGCTCACCTCGTGCTGTGCGGCCTGGTTCCTAACAGGCCATGGACCGGTAGCGGTCCGTGGCCCGGGGGTTGGGGACCCCTGGTTTACAGCCCTTTGTCAATCCACTGCTGGATGATGGCCGTGATAGTCGTGGAGAGTTCAGCTATCACTCGCCACTGAGTGCCCCAACCCCTACACAAGGTTTTCTGATTGGTTAAGGTTATTTTGTTGAACTAGATGAAAACTCATTTGCAATGGTGACCTATGTATGTGGAACTTCTTTCACACCGAACGTCGCCAACCGTCCCAATTGGAGGTGGGGGCATTAGTCTGCCAGTAGGAGGCCATGATAATGTATAATCCCAATTGAGTAACGTGTGGTGTCATTTTAGAATTGGGCAAATTTGAACCCTGATGCCATTTATTTAACCCGCAGCATTAACCAGGGTGGCCGCTCGTGTCGAACCGTGAAACTCTGCAACGGGCGGCGAATGCGCTACCGCTGAGCCGTGTCACGCCCCTTAATGTGACGTACGTGGTGAAACACAATGTGACACTTCCACGAGATTGAAAACACATTTCTTTAGAACTGTTTTTTGTTTAGTTTGTTGTCCTTCCCCTGCACCTCCGATTAGCGCGGTTGGCCACGTACGGTGCCAACGAAATTCTACATTCATACACGGACACACGGACACACGTGACACACAGACGTGCCACTGGCTCGTATACGCCCATATGACACGCACATCACAATCGCATGCTTTGACACGGCTACACTGTGACACAGTTACACTCCCGCGTGTGACAGACAAATATGCACACACAAATGAAACGCGCGCGCGCACACACACACAACAGGTGCGACACAAATGACGTACACACACACGTGAGTGACAGACACACGAACACGCACGTACCTCGGTCACAATCGTCGAGGTGAACTCGCTTTGATCGAACTTCCATCCGTTAGCGCACCCCTCCACCTGAACATCCTCACCTGCCCGTGCGCCCCCATCGCCACCACCATCGCCACTACCATCACATCCGTGGCCCCCGCCCGTGCCGTTGCCATCCGCGCACCGCATCAGGTGCCACTGTGGCTTCGTGTACACCTCGCAAGCGCTGTCCTTTCCTCGGGGGTTCAGAGGCACGGCCGCTCTCAGCAGCGAAAGGGAACTTCGCTGGGCCCCGTCGTGCAGGGCCCCTCTTTGTTGGAGCCCCGGCTGGGCCAGGGTGGCATTGGGGCCGTCGATCCAGGGGACGCGGCATCGGTGGCTCGGGGTGGCGCCGCCAAAGTTTTGGAAGATGTTGCAGGCGGCGAGGAAGAGCATCGGTAAGGTGACGATGAGCACGTGCATCACCTGGAAGCGCCCCGCGCTGCCAACGATGTCGAGCACTTGGGCGAAAGCCATGGTGGTGGCGGTGGTGGAATTGGTGTTGACCTGTCTCTATTCTATCCCTGCGTCTACTACGCGTCTCGTGTATCTCTGTGTATCAATCTTCGAGTCAGTCTCTCTCCTGGCTCTGTATTATGCAATTCCCTAGGTCTCTCCGTCGCGCATATTGCTCCACCGGCCTATGGCGGTGTCACTTTTTGAGCTTATATGCTCGCTCAGCACTTTAACAGTTGAATACAATATTTATCTTGGGCAATGCTCACGATCGTCTCTATATCAGTCCGTGATGTTGTTGTGGCTTGTGGGATATGGTGACCAAACTCTGTGTGTGTGTTTGTGTCTCTGTGTATCTCCCACTGTGGAGCTAGGCTGTAAGAAGACTCAGCTTTGGTCACGCTTTTTGCCCTGTACGTGTGCACGCGTGTCTGTCTGTCCAACTGCGTGTCTTCCTTTCTCCCTCGCACCCTCACTCTGAACACCTCTCTCAACCTCGCTTAAATCCACACTCTAAAAACGGTAGATTTAAAAAAGTAATAACAATAAATGGCCACTACTTTCTCCATACATTAATTCAAGACGCTTCGTTTTCTCTCCTGGTCTGTGTGCGTTAAATTGTCTGACTGCACGTGCTTGTCTATGATTGAATTCTTCCCAAAAAAGCGAGTTTTTAACAAAATTTTCCTAATGACACGTTCTCGTTCCCGCAGGTCTTCGGGTCGATGTCCGCACGTGTCGAATCGAGCCCCGTTATAAGGCGCGCGTGGATGAGGTTTCCTTCGACACTTCACGTGGCCTCCAAAGTGCACTCAGCCTGGCACAAGCGCTGCGGTGGCGTCAGCGCCACTTGGTATCGAACAACGGCTGGTGGTGTTGTTGCACTTTATAGTTTGCTGACCGCAATGGACAGCTGATGGATGATGGACCTTATTTTATAAGGGCAAGGCGCGGTCGTTAATCATCACATGGGGGGTGTGGACACCGTGATGCTGCTACGGGTAGATGATATTGTCAACACCCGATAGAAGATTAAAGGCTTTCCAACACTGTTTAACGGAACTTGACCGAAGCCTCGGTGGCTCAGGTCCGCTCACCTCTGCCCCCATTTCTGCAAAGGTGAGCGTTAGGCACGCTTGGCTGGATACAGAGAATGAGTTGGGACGTAATCGCGGTTAACCTGACCCAATCACCACCGTGCGCTGTTAACCCATCACCGCGACTATACTATCACTGTACCAAACATGACCCCCATCGCTACCATTGATATCACCACCATCGCTGACCACCACCACCACAGGCAACATTGTAACCAATCCATCTCGTGCCTGCGCACGAACGGATTTCCTCGTTCCATCTCCACGGTGGACTAACGCTCTCAAGCGCCGTTTCCTCCTTTGGCTGCCACTGTCCCTAACCTCGACCACCAACCACCATCCATATATCCCAGGAATGAAACCGTTTTTTTTTGTTCCAGAGGTTCCAGATGTCACACTTGAATAAGTAAACACGGCCGTTCACAGGACTGGGGCTAGCATGGTGATGCATTTTGCATTGATAGGGGGTGGGGGAAAGGTAAAAAAGTTAACAGGAAAAAATATATATTTGAAACCACGAATACATAGTGAGCGAGAGGGGTTTAAAAAGGGATGGAGATGCTTAATTTGTTATGCACGAAAAAAGAAAATCAGACCCACTCTGTTGAAAGCTGATGATGTAATGGAAATACAATCTTCACATTCATCATGTCAATTCTCTATCATCAGCAGTATTATCAGACGCAGCGGCAACAGCACCACCACCAGCAGCATCGCATTCATCAATAGTAACAGCAGCAGCATCACATCATCAATAGCAGCAACATCGTCACATTCATCTTCAGTAATCTTAATCCATCACCGGTAATAATAGCAGACGCAGCAGCAGCAACCGTAACATTGTTTACACCGTTTTTTTAATGGAATCGTGCCCGTGATGTTAGGCCACGCAGAGCCGGCCCAGCCACTAAGCGACCCTTGCAATTGCAAAGGGCCCCGTGGCCAGCAGAGGGCCCCCTAGAGTCACTGCTAGCTAGTGGGTGAAAAAAATCATACATCAAAGGGGCCTCCAACCAAATTTTGCTTAGGGCCTCCAAAGGTCTAGGGCCGGTTCTGAGGCCACGCATCCTTTGTGAAGGAGCTTTTGCTTGTGGGATGTTAGGGCTCAGGATTCGTGCCCACGATCACCTCCGCCGTGAGGAAACACAAACTCCACAGCAACTTGTTGTGAGTGTCGCTCCTCCGCCCTCCGTTGTTGTTGGAGGGCGACTGTCTCCAACTGCCCAGCAGCGTCCTTCACGAGCCTCCTCCACAGAGGCCGATCTTGACACCGCTGGTACCGGTCATTGGCAAGTCCACTCAGCTCCACGTCCTCCTGTACCACATAGGTGTTCGACACACACAACAACCGCCATTCGCCACTAAGTGGCGGTGACGTCACCACGACGCTTGTGCCAGGCCATGTGCACCTTGAGGCCACGTGAACTGTCGAACGCCCGCTGGCAGGAGGTCACTTGGCAGACCCAGGTGCCACGGGTCGACTGACCGAGATGACCGAGATGACTGGCTGATGCACCACCTGTGCTCCCTACTGTACAAACTTGCTGTGCTTCAGCCACCCGGTGCTCACACACACACACTGATACACACTGACACACACACAAGCGTGCACCGAAGCGGTCTCGATGTCCCCTTGCTAACAGGAGCAGAGCCTCAGGCCCCGATGCAGAGGTGGCGGCGCTGGCACTGCATCCCCCCACCCCCTCCGGTGAGAATGCGAGCAACCTGCTGCCCACCCACCACTAGGCCTCGGCAAGGTAAGGTAATTGTACCCTTTTTACCGGGTCAAAGGGTAAAGGTGTCGACATGCCAAGGGGTAAGGGTAAAGGGTAGGGTAAAAGGTAGGCTCATTGCTTTTTACCTTTTAACTTACCTGCTAAAGGGTAAAAGGTAGGGTAGAGTGATTGTATTGTGGTAAAGTAAAAGGTAGGGTAAAGGTAGGCTCGTTGTTTTTACACTTTTACCTTACCTTGCCGAGGCCTACCCACCGCTGCTCGCTCTGCAATTCCCGCTGCCAGTTCTGGCGGCGGCTCTTCTTGGGGAGGGGTGCATGCCCGTTGGGGGTGGGGAGGGTTGAGAGGGGGTCAGCCCCTGTGGTGGCGTGCCCTCGCCACGCTGCCGTTGTTGGTGTGTCGTCGTTTTTTACGTGTGTAGGACTTGAGAAAACACGCGTCACGCGTTGGGTTGTGATACGGACACGTGGCGGACAGTGAGGGCAAACGGGGACACAGGGAGCGGGGTGTCATACTGTTGTTATTGTGCCAATTAAGGTGGTAAGGTAATTAAGGGAGGCCTGCAGATGTTCGGGGGTAATTGAGGACACAGGCCGGTGATTGGACGAGACGGATGGGTGTCGGGAATTGGCGCCTCGATGTCTGCAATAACAACATCACGTGAGACTGGGGGCTGGGGGCGATGGGCGAAGCGGGGGATGATCTAATTGATTGGGGCAAATTGGTTCGGGGATAAAGGCAAAGAGCGTGGGGAGAAACGGGAGTTGGTTGGTGCCTGGGACAAGAGACGAATAGAGGAAGAGACGGAGCAGCAGACAAGAGAGTATAGTATACGGTAGCAGTAGACAAGAGAGTATAGTATAAGGTAGCAGTTGACAGAGGGAGATAGTGTACGGTAGCAGTGGACAAAGAGAGGACAGAGTATGGTAGCACCGGATAAAGAGAATACAGTATAGGATAGCAGCGGAGTAACGGACCTTGGTGGAGAAGCTTACGACGGAGGGAGACGGCAGAGAGAACAAAGAGCGACCGAGCTGGAGAGAGAGAGCAGAGAGGGAGGTCGCTGGAGGAGAGGAGCAGAGGGAGAGCGAGCGAAGCCAGCGGAGCGAGCGAACGGAGGGACATTGAGTGACGTTGATGGGGAGCTGTGCGTTGGAGAGAATGGAGGGACATTGTGTGATGCCGACGGAGGAGATGTGAACTATATGCGTTAATAAAGAACTGAGAAAGACAAATAAGCTGTCGCGTCAGTACGAGTCCTATACGTGTACCCCACCCCGTTAATGAGTAACCTCTTGTTGTTGTTTTAATTTTGACTTCAAGCTTTCGTGACTGCAGGAATTCATATTCTTTGGGTCATTCGGTAAAGTCACGTAGATAGGTTAAAAGAAAAGAGCAAAAAAGTATGACGTTTCGATCACGACACAAGTGGACGTCATCAGGAGTCAAAACCGAGGTGGGCAGCTGCTGAGGCAGACTGTTTTTAAAGGGTTTAAAATGGGTGGAACCCAAGGGTCATAAACGAAGTGGGCGGAGCTAGTGATGTTAATGTGAGAGATTAGCATGTTAATGTGAGAGATTAACATGTTAATAGCAGATCGCAGAGCAGCAACGTCGAGCTCGGCGAGCAATGTGGCTGTGTTAGTGTGGGAAATTAAAACCTGTCAATGTAAAATCAGAGAGCCGAAAATAACAACTAACATCGGAAGGTGGTAGGATGGAAACATCACAGCCAGTTATGACTTAAACTGGTTGATAACGTCCTTCCATTGATTGCTCAGTTGGTACCCATCTTCTCGATTGAAGCCGTGTCTGTGTCTGTATATGTGGATGGCTTCATGAACGAATCTTAGTTGATAGCCAGTGGGTTTGCAAAGTACCTTCGTCTTAGAGAAATCAATATCGTGTGAGCCCACCGCATTAAAACAGTGATCAGCCACAGCTGAGGTATTGATCCTACCGTGTTTGAGATCTGCCTTGTGTTCACGGTGTCTCGTTTCCGTGTTCATTAACATGCTAATCTCTCACATTAACATGCTAATATCTCACATTAACATCACTAGGCCCGCCCACTTCATTTATGACCCTTGGGCTACACCCATTTTAAACCCTTTAAAAACAGTATGCCTGAGCAGCTTTCCCCCTCTTTTTTGCTTCCTGATGACGATCGCTTGTGTTGTGATGGAAACGTAGTAGTTTTATTTTCTTTGAACCTATCTACGTGACTTTACCGAAAGACCCAAAGAATATGAATTACGATGCTTTGGGGAGTGTCCAAATAACGCCTTGCCCTCTTACGAAATCTCATGGCCCGCGTGCGGGGATCATGTAACACGGATGAGATTTATATAAGATACGCACCCCCCCTCCCCCTGCGACAGAAAGTTAATTAACTCTCATTTCGTTAATTATTTGAGACGGCGGTCAATGTTTGAAAGCGCAATCTGCAGACGGCGATGAATGTGGTGCCGTAATTGATGATAACCATGATGATGATGAGTGTCGGAATGACTTGATGCAAATGGTGGCGGCAACAAGGACATTGGTGATTGATGATGACGATGACACATTTGGTGATAATTGAACCTTATGGCGGGACCCCGGGGTCCCGAATAAACGGAAGTCAAAATCGTAATTAATTTATTTTTGGCGACTCCGTCCCACCGCGCACATAAACGCCGCGACCCACGTGGTGCGGATCGTTCTGTTGTCGTGTCGTGTCCAAGCGCAGCAGCGAGGACGAAAGCGCAGAAGAAACACAACTTTGAAACTTTGATTAGGGCATCGTGTAGAGCTCGTCGAGAGGAATAGATTGCCGTGTCGTTCGCCTTCAAAAGACATGAAATGACGTCGCAACGCAGTTGATGCGAGAGCCGGGGGCTTATGGGACCCCGGGATCCTGCCATAAGGTTCATTATGATCAGTGCAATGAAAATGATGAAGAATGTGACCTGATGATATGTATTTCTGCGGAAGCTGGTAAATCCTTCCCAAGTCTTGCCACTATCCCAAACATAGCAATGCAGGTTAGGGTCCAGGCTAACTTTACGTTGCATTCCAC